TAAATACTTTCCTCCGTTAGCCTTGGATGGTTACCTCACTTTTGGTGTAGCGCGTAATCCTATTGGAAAGAGAGTTATAGATACCTTGTGACGTCTTAAAAACAACCAAAGTCAAAGTTTTTAGTCGTTTGACCACTACCTAAGTGTAAGGGCGTAAGTTAAGGCGGCCGGTTGAAGGATTTAGCGACGATGTAAGATTCTGTAAGCTGCTAGAGTGGAGGGCAATTTTGATTATTCGGCCCTCTCTTACTGCAGTTAATTTTGAACCCTGTTTGGTAACGTTTCCTTTCTTGTTTCAGTACAAACAAACTTGAGCCACGAAACTGGCAAGAGTGAAACAGAAAATAGAAAGCCTGTTGACTATGGTATTATTTTTTCACTGACATGCACCGTAAAATTACCTTGAGTTCCTAGTTTTCCTCCCTTTATGTTCTGCCGCTTCTAGTTTGTCAAAACTAAAGCGGACGACAGTGGGTGGCTACTGAGTACTGACGAAAACTGATGTACTTGTTTCTACTCGATAAAACTCTATCAAAAGCGGTCTTGTCCCAGCCGAATTTCGTTTGCGCGTAGCTTGACTCTATACGAAGTGGAAGGCGGATAGTTCTTTTGAGTGGACAGCAATAGCTGATAACAAAAGCTTTTCGCGACAGTTACTGTTGCAATTGTTTGAAGATCAAAAAATCGTATCTTCAAATACGCTCATATAGGTTAATGTTTTTTCGTACTCTTTAAGATGACTCCGAATCGGAAAGCAACTCCATTCCGGGGTTATTGATAGGTTTTGGTATGTTTCAACAACGCAAATCATCCCAACATGCATAATGTTAAACGAACCTTATTGTCATACAAGTCTTGCAGAACCGTTCTCGCTGGATATTTATACAGTTTCGCGTGAAGCTTCACCGTTAAAAACAAACAATGCGTTCTTTAGTAATAAAGTCATCCAGGTTTTCAGGCCACTTAACTAGACTAAGAGTAGCCTCTAATCGTATCAGGAAGTACGCGAGAAAGCAAACGAGGCAAACGAGAACTGAATTCACTTTTCGCGAGTCACCTTTGTCTGCTCATTGCACTACTATTGGAAAATCTGCAACCCATGAGTTTGTTGATATGTTTTATTTTTCGCCTGATTCATTGATATTATTTTTGTAGAGGTTGCAGTCTGGCTACCGCTGAGTTGAAGTTTCCACGAAAAACTTTTTACATATTCACATTCCAAGAAAAAATTTCTCGGGAAGAAAGAGGAAAAAAACAAAACAAAATAATTTGATTGTTGACCCTTAATATCTTATTATAGACTCGTCAGAATCTTTTTTCTTCTTATAAAATCTTTGCCGAACCAAGCGTAACTTAACTGTAAAAGACATTATCACTAAGTAAAGAACTTTTCAAGTTTTGACACAACACCGTGGGAAATATTTGGGAAACATTGTAGAGGAACTGCATTCGCGGATATTAAGTTTGAAAGGTTCATGATGCTTGGCCGGTATATCGATGATACTTGATGTAAGTGGGAATTAGAATTCACATGTCTAACTCTCCAAAAAAATTGAAACACATTATTACCGTCGAATCTCGGAATAACATTTGCATATTGAACATAAACTTTCTAAGAACTGGCCCAGGCACCGATTTGAATCGTAGGTTTCCTTTCAAACACAGATAGTTACGTTACTTGCATGCTACAAATAAATTACTGTTTGTCACTGAGCTTCACTCTTCCGTTCCGGCGATGTGTGAACCTTTTTTTGCTATAAACTTGGATTGTGATGTATCTTTAACTTCAATTGCAAGAGAAAATAACAGGAATTCTTTCCTAGCAAACTTTTTACTTATTAAGCTTCAGACCTACATACCTTAGTGAGTATCGAATGATTGTATCCATCATATTTGCCGCATATTCTCAAACCTCTCTTGATTCTGACAGTTATCATCCAGATTTATGTCCGCACCACTCTGTGACAGTAGCCATCATGGAAGATTTCCGTACCATCACTGTCATCATTGCACTCCCTCCAAGAGCTTCTTGACCACAATCTTCCGGTATGTTTTACTTAATGTTATTCACACGCAATTGATCCAGTTGTTACACTAGCAATCAAACTAATATTTGCATAGTCAAAAGAAGCTGGGAATTTTTTTTTGTTTTTAAGCGGTAAGTTCCGAGGCAGATCTCGAGTTAAGATGCGTTGGCGTGGAAAAGTAGGCGCTTAATTTTGTAGGGGCCTTCTTATGTTAAGGTATTATTTAGTTGATGTCACAATTTTTTCTTTCAGTTACTCGTTTTAATCTGTTAAAAAAGAAAGTGTTCTAAACAGATTACGGGAGATATTTTTATAGACAAGAAAAACGTCTTCAGGGGCTTAGAAAATTGTGTACTTGACCTCCATCTGTCATGAATAAATTAGGGCTCTGTCGTCGTGTTTGTTTAATGGCAACGTCTTCAGTGTTTCTTTTTAAGTCGTTGATTTGAAAGGGCCAAGAGACAATGCTGCTTTGGGACGTTAAGAAAAGGTCTATCCATACTCTATCTTGCTGTAAAAGGGGAGAATGAATTGCGATTCTGAATCGCCGCAAAAAGGTTTTGTTTCATTAATTGCATACTCACTTTAGAATGCAGTTTCCGAAGTTGTGTACATGGTCAATTTTTGAAAAAATTTAGTAAACATTAGGAAAGCTAGTTAAATATTAAGGCTCAAGCTATCTCGTGCATTGATGCGATCGGCGATTGTCGTCAACGATCGAACATCTTCAGTTACGTGCCTCGTACTAAGTTTCATAAACATTGCAATTAAGGTGTCATAATTTAGTTTATCTCCAGCTTCCTCTCCTTGGCAAATTGGTTTCGCAGAAATGATGCCACTTGATGGGTATTATTATTCTCAATCATATCTATTACAGACCCTTTATGGATACGGTTTGGTTTGCTCTGCGGCCGTATTGTATTTCCAATTTTTATGTGTATTTATTACATGGCTACAATAGTACGCGCGCGCTGATTGGCTGCTGAGCGGGCAAAATTTCCTTGTAATGACGGGGCATTATTAGCTACTAATGTCCAAGACATATTAAGTCTGTGTTTAACGTAATAGTGGACATCCATGTTATGGTCAATTGGTAGGTGTCAGAAAAGGCTATCCGCTGACCAGTATCATGGTGAGGTGACGTGTTTTTTATAGCTATCTGCTGACTAGTTATTGGTTTTAACTGATCGCAGTCATAATTAGTCATTACAGGGAAATCTAAGACCTCGGCCTGACATTTCCCTGTAATGACCAAACGGACGAGGTTAATAAGTGGTATGTGTTCTTTAAATATGGTACTAGGGAGTTTTAGCAATGACGGCGGCGACGGCAACGAGAACGTCAAATCAGCAATAGGTTTATTGAGCAAAACAAGAAGTTGGCACGTGCATCACGCTTTTTTGTACATTTCTTTGCCGTTGCTGTACGACTACGACGTGAAAATGCCTAATTTCACGTTTTATGGAGGACGTAAACAAGCGACGACGAAATTTTCTTTCTCTTTCTAAACTTGAGTGCAGTCCCAAGAAATCAACTCCAGGGAAATTTGCCTACATAAGGCGTTTTCAGCGAGTTGGAATAAACGCGACAAAGTTGAAAAAAAAAGCTAATTCATTTTAAAAGTGAAGTTTTCGCTGCCGTCGCCGTCATCGATGCTAAAACTCCCTATTATGTCCCGTAAAACTGGCACATATTTTGTTGTTATTAAAGTATCTTGCCTTGTACATTGGTTTGTATTACATATAGAGAGTTTAAGATGTCATGGCGACAAGAATGTCAAAAACATGACAGGTTTAAGGTGGCTCGGTGGCTATCAAATCGTTTTGTGGGTCCTTGATATCGTCTTATTTTGTACAGGGTCCGTCTTAGAAATTGCTGACTAAAGCAGGAAATCAAAAAACGCACCGAAGAGTTTAACTTTAGGAAAAATAACTCTGCCATCCGGTGTTGTTTTACTTCCTGGTGTCAGGTTTCCTCCGACCTTGACTGTCGATCGATAATGCGGACACCTCTCTCTAAGCCGGACATTTCGTACCGGTCTCAATGGTTAATTTATTAATTAAACACTTTGATAGCGCTCACATCCACTAGTTGTTCGTGGCGCTTTACAACAATATTAAAAATAATAATTTTATAGAAATAAGAAGGTATAAAACATTTAACTCTAATAATAAATTAAACCATTGTTAATAAATTTCCTAAAAAGGTAGGTCTATAAAATTTTTCAGTTTTAAAAGTAGAAACACTGTTCGATCTACGAATGTCTAAGGGAATATTGTTCCACAGTCTAGGGGCGCATGTAGAAAACGCCCTGTCGCCATGTGTTTTAGTATTGGACTTCTGTTGCAAAAGACGTTCTAGGGAATTTGAACGAAGTGTCCTAGAATGATTCTGGCACTTAAGTAATTCGACCAAATACCGAGGGCCAATACCATGTAGAGCTTTAAAAACCAGCAAAAGTAACTTGAACACAACATGGTAGGATATCGGAAGACAATGAAGTTTTACCAGAATTGGACGTATATAATCAAACTTACGAGCACCAGATACAAAACGAGCTGCCATGTTCTGTAGCAGTTGAAGTTTCCTCAGTTGATGATTGGGTAATCCATAAAAAAGAGAGTTACAGAAATCCAGTTTAGAAGTTATAAAAGCATATACAAACGTGGCAGCTGGTGTTTTGTTAAGATACTTTCTGATCTTGAACAAATTTCTAAATTGGCAGACTAACGACTTGCAAAGATGTTTCATATGATGGTCAAAGGACATTTGTTTATCTAGAACTACTCCAAGGCTTGCGGCTTTATCAGATAGGGAATCCTTTCATTTCCAATGTTTGCACGTAACCCAGAGAAGGGCCATCACGAAATTTTGAAGAGATGAGAACAATTTCAGTTTTATGTTCGTTCAACTTAAGATCATTGCGATTCACCCAACGACAAATCATGATCACCAACACAGTTTTCAGTCCGTTCAGGTTTTGATCGAGGATGCATCATTTGTTTTAAAAGCAACGTAAAGCTGACTATCATCAGCATACAGATGATAATTGATATTATAGCTCTCAATAACTTCACGGAGAGGAGATGTCTACATGAGATATAACACTGGCCCTAAAACAGACCCTTGAGGCACACCAACTGACAGGACACGCTTACTTGAATATGATTCATTGATATTGACAAAAGTATCTCTGTAGTCAATAATCTTTGTAGTAAGTGTATTCGTCATTTTGTATTTAGCTAAATTATGATATAAGAAGGTCCTGTTCAGTTTTGATTTTTCCACAGTCATGAACAATTCCCCGAAATTTTATTGTTCCTTTTCCCCGCAGAAGGGAAATAAGACGTTTAATTGATGAGGGGCTGGTTTAGTGGAAAAGGGGATGGATGTTAGCAGGCTCTGTACCACAGCTCTTTCAATGGCTTAAGTGTCACTAAACAACATCAAACACAGGTAAATAAGTTTTTATTATTAAATAACAACACTATGAAAATAGCCACTCGAGTTTTTATCGCTAAAAATGTTGCGCAGAGATTCCTAAAATCGACATTACTATTTTAAAATTAGGCTTTGACAAAAGTTAAACATGCAAAACTGAGCATATGAATTTCATTCAGTTATCGTTTTGTATTAAGATAATAAAGACTAAGAAAAGGAAAAATGCCACAGGATCCGGCATGTCATCGTTAGCCTGAAGAAAAAAAAGAACCGGTTAAACCCTTAACTAAAGTAAACTAGGAAAATAAGAACTAATTGAACTGAAAAGTCCGTTCTAATGTGCAGAGACTACGCAGCATTTCGAGAAGATACCTCGGAGCAAAAGTTTCGCTTTATGGATTTACCGACGTTGCTTTTACTACTTGTTTAGTGAATGAAATAGAAGATTCCATATACACCTGTGGTTGAGCATGACTCGACGCCGCTACCATATTTGGTAGACCGTACCTGAAAGATACGTAAAACAGAAAGTTAACGTCTATTCGCGTCATCGATAAAATGAAAGATGGCGGCCGGCCGCAGTAGTACAAAAACTCATCAGTAACAAGCAGCTTTTGCTCGCCCTTAAAATACGCCGAATTGTAGGCTATGGGTCAGCAGAGATGTGCCCTTAAGCGCAAGTGAAACTATGACCTTTTATTAGACGTTGTTGTGCATAGTGTAACGTACGTTTGTCATTGTAAACTGGTCGGAATGATCTGGCCGCCTGCAGTGGCAACATTCCAACTAAGTATGTTTTTTATGGTATCTTTGTCAATGTGTAATTTTCGGCCAGGAAACTGTTCATTTGCTCCGGAAAGCAGGTTATTTCACCACCCACCTTCTCGACTTTTGGTCGAATAAACCTCCCTATTCTGTGATAACTTGTGATTACTACTAGTAAGTTAGCTAGGGTGGGTACTATATGGTGGAGATGATAATTTGTTTAGTATAGTTCTTTACAGACGTGACTGTTTTTAGTGTTTTACCTGGCTTGATTTGCCTGGTGATCATTTTGCTGGCGTATAGCTTGGTTCGCGGCGTTGGTCCCCTAGTAAGTTAGAGAGAATCAGCATTCTGATTAAACTGAGACATACGCTGGAATAAATTGTGTGAATGAGGTTCAGAAGAGAAAGTAAACTTTTCTGGGCGACTAAAATTTGAAAGAAGGAGAGGAGAGTTGCCGTTTGACGTAACAAAATTATAGGATTTTAACATTCTTTTCAGTGGTTAAAGTTGATGTTGGTCACTCAGGCTGCTCGATCGCGTTGTCAAGAGCTCGGTAAATCACTCGATTAGAGAATCGGTTAGTTTTAGTGAGTCGGTCAGTCCGTCTGTCGGTCTTACTTCATTTCCTTGTGTGTTTTATTAGAGCATAGAATTTAAATTCGCTTGTGTTTTTGAAAAAGGAGTGGAATTTTGCTAACATTTACTTCTTGTGTCAGTGGAATATATTTTTAAGATCATTGTTTTGAATATTAGATGTTAGTAGGTGTTTTGCGTGGAAAGGTTTGGTAAACAGTATTTTCACCTGCCCAAGCGCGAAGGGCACCACGGGCTGATTTGTGGGTGAACTGCCGGAATAGCTGCTTGTATCCATTTCTTCGTCGCTAAATGAAAAGGAAAAGTCAGGTCAGTACCAACAAAGCCGGTGAGTTCTTGTCCCTAAAATATTCGGTTTTTCAAAGGGCACCTCCAGAAAAAGGAACGTAGTAACATTTTACCATTAAAATACTGAACACTTTACAGCATCGTTTAGCTTCCTTAGAAGTTACTGGACGTTTTTGCCCATAGAAAGGTACAGCCGTCCAATGTTATTCAGCAATACCTTTATTAAGTACATGTAAATCTGAAAAAGCCACCCCATTTGTGAGCGGTATTGTATTACCTAGAGTTTAGCTGGTAAAATCTTGGCGCTGCCAGGTTTACAAACAAGCATATACGCAGAAGCAGTAGCGCGCTTTTCTTTACTGTCTTTTATTTGTACAAAAGTTACTGGAGCAAACCCGCACTTCCTCATGTTTAACCCTGATTTGTAGCGTGTTAGTTGCTCACCTCTTGTCACTAGAAGAGTCTGATTCCTTAAAAAAGCGAAAAAGATAGCGCATTAGAAACTCGCCCACATCCTGCATCTTCCTAACCCTTCTCCTAATCACAGAAATTCATTTACGTCTGGTGATAAAAAGTTCGGTTGACTCTTTAGTAAAGGGACGGACGGGTTCGACTTTTTCTGTGAATGTTATAGTATTTCGTTTTGTAAAGGTTTGTTTGAAAATAAACTGGAGAAATACACAGTTAGTCTCTTCTTGTTGCACAAACTTTGTTTGCCGTAGGTTCCTGACTGCTCAGTTTTTTCGTAAAAACAGCCCTTTCGCTAGGAGATACTCTGGCTGAACTCTTCCAACTAACACAAATGTCATAGTTGGATCTGTCGAACGTAAAAAAACCCTATCAAAAAACGTACCCAAGACGCTGAAAAAATAAGCTTGAGCCACGGTATTAAACTAGACTAAGAGCAGTATTCAGTGTTGAAAGTTAATTTTGTGTAAACAGGTTGCTTCCCTTGGTATTGCATGCGAGACATTTTTAAAGAGCATTCTCCGGCGTTATTAGCTTAGTTTCCTAACTTGCTACTCTATTTTTATCTAGATCTAAGGTTCGCTTTGTTTCTCTTTCATTGTATTTATAGTATTATTGTTTTGTTGAATAAAACGTTTAATAATCTTACCATTGATACGTCTGAATCAGCCATCTAGAAAGAAAGAAATAGTCATGAGTAAACCACGGCCGTGAAAGCGTATTTCCTTAACAGCACCGTAACTAATGAATACAAAATCGCCTATGCTGGGTGACCTTTATTGTTTATTACTTTTATGCCGTCCATATCCCTTTTACTCACTAGTTATTACCAAGTCATGTGGGCGATTTGGCTGAAATACTGATAGTCGGGAAGACTTAAACAGACTTAAAGAACTGAAATTTTAGTTTGCCACAATGATAAATATGTGTGTGGAGCGTGTTCACAGGTCTAACTTTGATACAAACTTACTTCGCTTTGCGTCCCGTTAAAAAAATAATAGTAGTAAAAATAAAATACAAAAAGAAAAAAAAAATACAAGAATGATTTGAAATGATTTGCGTTTTCGTGCGCTATGTTCGAAACACTCGACCAAACACGTCAGTCAAGTTATACGTAATATTAATACTAAAAATAACCTTGGAGTAAAGATAAAAACATCCCCCTATATAGTGTGTAGCGTTATATACAGTAAAAAAAAAGTTTACTATTTTTGGTCGTGTTCGATTCACCGTATTTCGGAATAAGATTAATTGAAATGAACTCTAGAAGGCACTTGTGCTTGTTTCATTGGTTTGTAAAATATCTAGAAGCCTACTTGAAATAAATTATTCCGATGTATGTAGGATCCAAAACTCAAAGGGGTAGAATTTGTATCAAAACTTTGCATCAATTTGGCGTGCCACTCTATAGTTTCACAGTGCATTAGAATTCAGACGCTGTTTATTAAACTCAGTAGTAACAAAGCGTGTATGGCACAGTCTTCACAGTTCTAGTTGTAACCGTCTTTCGGTTTGGATTAAAGACAGATTCTTATCAGGTTATGGGCCCAGAACAACGCCCAGGATAACGCCCAGAAGAACGTAGAAAATAACTCTTGGGACGACAGGAAACTTGAGGAATGGTGGTATGAAAATATCACGTTCGGGATCGCGCAAGATGGCGGGTGGAGAGTTAAACGCGTGGAGAGTTTAACAGTACAGAATTTAAGAGTTTAAGTGTTTTTTTTTATTAGTACCGTATAACCTCCACCCACTTGTAATTGCTCTGTGGTAGTAGCCAACTCGAAAGCTTGGCTCCTTTGGCTGCTACACACTCTTCCTTTTTTATGTTTAATTCAATGTATAGTTAGCTCTGTTTTTTACTTCTTCCTTTTTTTCCTTATTGTTGTATTGTAATTGAATAAGTGTGAATAAATAAACTTGCACTTGAACTTGAACTAAGTAAGTCCCATCAAACATTCTGAAACAGATGTAGAAGTTTTTTGTCAAGTCATACTTCGATTAAAAATTAGCACCTATTAAGTTTTGACGTTTTGGCTTTTCAGGGGTGTGATAACTGAAAGGATAAACGTTTCTTAGCGCTATTACGCAAATTGTAAAATTATTTAGTTAGTGTATAGCAAAATTCGTTTATACCAAACGGTGGAAACAAGAACCTGCGAATTTAGTCCATGGATTAATGATCGATTCTCTTTTCCTTGGCTTCGACATACTCTGAGTTAAGATTAAGAAATCTACGTAGCCTGCGGGCAAGCTCTCCGGGACGCTCTGGCAGCGGGTTGGGAGCCTGCGAGCAAGCTTTCCGCCCCGCCGCCAGAGCGCCCCGGAAAGCTTGCTAGGCTAGAAATCTACGTTGCTCGTAGATACGATAACTCTTGAGACGGATTTGTTCTTTTAATGTTATTGTTTGTTTGACTGTTGTTCAACGTCACTGATCACTTTATCAAGAGCTATCGTGGTTTTGCGTTTTAGCGTGTTTGTTAATGTTAAAAATGACAACTTGTGCGCCGAACGTTTTGACAGTGTTCTTTCTTGTTTTCTCATTTAGCTGACACGCTTTTATTCTTAGCGCTTCTTGTGCAGCAACACGGCATGCTGGGCGGACTATTTTGTCTGTGTACAAAAAAATAACTAAGAATCGTAAACACTTCCAAGAATGTTCTGGAAGTTTAATGATCAGTGCTGGCTTGATTCACGAGCACAAGGAAATACCTGGAAATAGCAATCTCTACTCTACGACCCTTATTACTCTTAATTACTTTGAAACATTCCCTTTAGGGTTCTCGTGAATTGAATTTTAAGTCAAACTGAAAGTTGGGGCTTTGCAAACGCTTGTATTTTTAGAAAGAGACTAGGTAAACACCACTGTTATTTCATAAACTCCGTTCCTTCCTATTTCCTACGTATTTGTCCTTGAAAACGTAGGTTTTCTCCCTCAGCTTCTGTTCAAACAGAAATACCTGGTGCTTACTTCTTTCTCACCTTCTTCCCTTTATTTTGCGCTTTGTGTCCTCATCTCCTTCGAACTTCGCTGTTCGTGTGAATTTCTGCAGTTGTGTAGAGCTGTAAGAAAATGACTAATGAATATTTTTGAGTGTTTGATTGACGGCTTTAAGTGAGGGTGTGTGGGGCTACACTGTATAAACGTTAAGGCACCGAAGGTGTTGATAATGAGTCGAACCGATACAAACATTTTAAAAAGCTAGGCCCAAAAAGGCGACAAACGATACATTCAATATTATGACAATAGTTATGATTTTAGTTAATAAAATAACAGTTATTAAAATAATAGTTATGCTGCCAAATATGAGGGCTAACATCTTCGTTATTATTTTGTTATTTTTTTTTCATCATTAATCAATGTGTGATGATGATTTCAAAAGTAATGAAAGTGAAAGGGGACGTTATTAGTGTAATTATAACCAGTATTAAGACCCATTGGTATTTACGAAGTGTTAATAAAACAATCTTGTTAAATTGCTTTGGGCTATGCGAACGTTGCGTTCTCCTTTGTTAAAACACGCGAATAAGTGACCTGGCAAGTGCAGTTAGTGGGAAGAATTGGTGGTTTTAGGGCCCATAGGTAGTTACATTTCTTGTGAAAGCAGTCCTTTCACGTTGCTTTTATTTATGTGTAGTAGTTGGTGTCATGTTGCGTGTTCTATTTATTCGGGAAATACACTTTTGAAAAAGTGACGTGGGTCACCGCGCCGGTCTAGTGTCAACTTTGATGACCATTATCTAAGTATCATTCAGTGGTGAAACTTATTTGACAAAGCTTTTGAATGTGGAAAGGAATATTTCTTTCTCTTGCCGCATTCAGTGGAGAAAATTCAATCTTGTTTTTCATTTTTGTTCTTGTGTTTCTCTATCGGGTAAGGCCACATATTTACGATATTATTTCTAACGCATATAGGCACAGCGTATTTCTAAAGGTAAGTGGATCTACATCTGCTTTACTGTCGCCTGTTATGGCGAAGGCGAGTGTGATTAATGGGAAGAAGATTGTATCACAGTGTACCGATAATCGTTTGTAAGCAATACTAATAACCTTATTAACGGCTGAGCCGCTGAGCCGGCTGCTGAGTTTCAATAGAATCGTATGAGCCTTTTTTATAGTCACATACCTCTCTAAATTGTGCGCTGTCAACAGTTTGCAATGTAATCACTGTTTGAGCGGATTTCAAATGTTTCAATGAAAATAGACTGAATGCAATTAGTAATAAACCAAGTTAAATACCGGAAGATTGATGAGTGTCGAGTGTTGAATGGCCCGGGCGTTTAACACTCGACGCTGGGACACTTTCGCCAAGGAGATCCAAGTACAGTAATTTGATTTAAAAGGCTATTCATTGCCGTCTCAAAAATTTATTGCATGAATATATAGTAAAGGCTTGGAGGTCCATGCAACTCTACGAAGCTTGTCACTAGGGTTATAGCCGTTTCAGTAGCTTATTTCTTCCTGTTTGAATAAAATAAGCATTAGTTTACTAAAAGTCTCATTAATTTTTTTGTTTTTCCTATGACGGCACAAAGTGACCGCGTTTTATATTGTTAGACGGTATTCATGTCAGAAATGCTCGATCAACTCGTGCCGAAGTTTTACCATTTTACCCGAGAACAATCTGTCCCTATCTCCTTCCAATTTCTTTTTTTTTTTTTATTCAAGCCCTTCTTTCGGCTTTTCTGCATTTTATTTTTGTTCATGTAAAGTTTCGAATTTAATTTAGCCAAACAGGTGACCTTTTAAGCGACCTATCAAAACTACAAATTTTTATAGTCGCCGCATCAAACAGTAAGTTTAGAGGTTTCTCTTTCTTGGCTAAACTTACTTCTTTTTTTACTCGGAGATCTGTTCGGCCTGAAACAACAGCATCTCAATTACACTCGTGTTAGGTACTTTGCCTACGGGTTGTTGTAAGATTGAGGTCTCGTTGATCGTTTGATTGAGATGGTCAAAACACTGAATACGCAGTTACGACTGCCATCGTGAATTTGATTAGCTTGTTGGCTAAAACGTTGCGGCGGTGAACAGGAGTACAAAGATATCAAGGTCTCGTGTCGGGCCGGTGCCTCTTGTTTGAGCAAGGAGTGCGGCAACCACGATAAGTGTATTACAGTCCACTCACCTATGCTTGTTTCCCGTTAGTGACCTTCTGTAGCTCTCTCTAGACTTGTGGTGCGGTAATCGTGAACAGCGAAACTGACCGGGTGTTTATCATTAGTTACTTCTTTGAAAGATATTGTTGCTCTTAATCATGCAGTTGTTAAGTTAAAAATACCCGCTCGCCTTTTTGCGCTTTTATTCCTCAGTGACATTGCCCACGGTGACCCTTCATATATGTATCGTTTATTTTGTCTACACCTGACTCACTCTTTCCGGTGTGTGCTTTGTAAGACGCTTGGGCCCGGTTGCAAAAAAACCCTCTTAAGATAAGAGGGCTCTTAACTTTTGTTCTGGAACAATATTAACCGATTATTTTGAAATAATAGCTACGAGTTCCCTTAATCTTAAGATGTTTTTTGCAACCCGACCCTGGAGAGGAATATATTGCTTTAAAAAAAATTTATTCGTAATTCACCGACAAGGAACCTGGGACAAGTAATGCACACGCGAGTCACTTAAAACTGACCGCGATATTGTTAGCTGTAACTTGTTGGGCGCCTTTAAAAATGTTAACTTTTAATGTCTCCCCTATATTTGATGACATTTTCTAGGAAATTAAGTCAATCAATGAGCAATCACATTTCTATATTGCAGTTTGTCTTTTCTGCCGTTTTAAATAGTTGAAATACTTTCCTTCTTTGTGTTATTTTTTTATTTTTTTTTTTTGCGAGTGAACAAAGGCGTTGAGTCGCTGAGTACTAAAATAATATCATGAAAGCGTTTCACAAGTCATTCCATAGCCTTCTTGGCCTCAGGCTGTAACACATCATATTATGTTAAACATCAGAGAATAACTTGTATTTTATTTGCATTGGCGGGCGCTCAAAGAACACCGACGACAGCCTAATTAGTAGAAGACGCAGACCAGACTGGCCTCAGGCTGTAAAACATCATGTTATAAAAACATCAGAGAACAACTTGTATTTTGCTTACATTGACGGCCACTCAAAGAACACCGACGACAGTCTAATTAGTGGAAAGATTTTTTTTATGCTCAGTCCCGATACAAAGCTATTATTGGGTCTCGTCTCTGAAAGAGATGTAAATATCGGCGTGAAGTCTTAATTCCATTTAAATTTTCTTTTATCTTTCAAAATTTCTAGTCGAATCAAATTTAACTAGAACAAGGCCAAAAGTGATTTTTAAACAAACTTTCACTTGTAATTTGCAGCCCGTATCACCGTGAACCTCTTGGCAACTTAGTAACTCTTGTATGAAGGGCTTCGTAGTTGTGAAACCATATTCCTTCACATCGAACTTATTACTTTAGTGAGAAACTAAGGCCTTGGCCAAACCTGGCACTTAAATCTGTATTTTGCCCTTCTGGAACAATTGAATTTAGGTGGGTCCGCTTGTCCGCTTTCTGTTGTTATGTTACGTATTTAAATGCAATTGTTTTCTGATTGTTATCGCCCGCCTCGTCATTGTCTATTTCGTAAAAGTTGAAATGTATTTCTAAACTCACATTTAGCTCCACGGCCGTCGCTTTTTTAGAAAATTTATTTTGTCATCTTGTAGTTATTGCTATTGCTTAAATACCGGTAGCTATAGTTTGCGTGTTTGACAATGAACTAAGGTGACGTATTACATTGTCGATTCGTTGAATGATCAATGTTTGAACTGACACTAAGAAACTGTTAGCATGGTTAGGAAATTATCGGCTCAATGAATTTGTGGATAATATATTTACACACCGCAAGGTCGTAATTAAGTGGCAGACAAAAGGAGAACAAAGCAAATCAATGGAGGTCTTCTAATCTCTTGCATTGATGTGTACGCATGTTTTGCCAAGTTTCGTAAAAGATAAGGTTTTTTAAAAACTTTTTTTTTTAAGTGATAATAAATTGCTGATCCTTAGACTCTCAATTGCAACTCAATTGTCAACAAATTCACTGTTTGCATGAAATCAGTTTTCATTTTCGGATGAACAGAAGAACAGCTGCATCTTCCGATACAAATCTGTAACTTAGCAGGTAAGTTACTCATTTGCTTGTCATATCATTTGCTTGTCAAACTCATTTGCATGTCATGTAAGTTGTAAAGTTAAGTAGGAATGTAGCGAACGTTGAAGTGCATGTCAATATTTCATTGCTTTTGTCATTGATTCAACAACAAGCAAAGAAGTAACCATAGAAAACCCAAATCTATTCTGTGTACCGAAACCAATTTAAAGAGTATTATATCCGATTCGTCGATCCTTTTATTTGCAAGTTTGAGTGAACAGTAGCTGAACACAGCAAAGAGAAAAATTTCTAGCATAGATAAATTTGAAATTTCTAATAATGTTGGATCGATCAAAATGGAGTTTTGCTAGATGGAAATTTAATAGTAACCATTAAGCGCCCATTTTTTAAAGAGCTTTAAGCTTACATGCAATCTTTGAGTTTAATAATGAAATGTTGTTTGATCGATCAAAATCATGTCGAATTTTAGCAATAAACAAAAGGCACTGAAAGTGAACATTCGAGGAAGTTTTTCGCAATGGAGCACCTCGGAAAGAGAACAGCAGGGCAAATGGATTATAATTACAGAACCAAAACGTACTTACCCTCAAGAGAAAGAGTTTCCGCCGCAGTACGAAGAAAAGTATTCCCAACAGTGCTGTGCTATTTGAAGTTGCGCTGCATCCACTACATCCACCTTGCGTATACCTTCGATTGATTTTCTCCCGTCACGTGGCCACCAGGTATAAAACGGAAGCAAGTTGTGGCGTCCAGCGATTTTAGTGAAAACAAGAGTTTGGGTGGGGTGCTCAGTCGCGCGGGCTCATAAGACCTGGTCTCGATCATTCCTATTGAAGGATTTTCATAAAAAAGCAGAAAAATGCGCTGGGTGTGTAGCCAACATGTGCTTTTTAAATTTATTTATTTAGGTAATTATATGTCAATATTTCATTGCCTTGTTATTGATTCAACAACAAGCAAAGAAGTATAACGACAGAACTCCCTTGTGTACCTCGTTGAGGATAATCTCGAAACCAATTTAAAATACGGAATATTATAATCGATTTGTCGATCCTTTTAATTGTAAGTTTGAATGTACAGTCGATGAACACAGCAAAGGAAAAAATTTCTAGAATAGATCATTTTGAAATTTCTAATAATGTTGGATCGATCAAAATGGAGTTTTGCAAGATCGAAATGCGATAGAAAGCAATCAGCCATTTTCTAAAGAGCTTTAAGCTTACATGCAATTTTTGATTTAATTTAACAATGAAATGTTGTTTGATTGATCAAAATCATGTCGACTGCTGGGAAGCACGAGACTTGGACCAAGCACAAACTTCTGCGATGAACAGTCAGATTTGTTTCCTTTGATGAATGAAAATTAATGCACCGAAACGGTAATTTACCGCCACTTTTCCTGCAACTAGGTGCAAAGTATGCTTTATCGCTAAATCAAAGCAATTGTCTTACTGTTTTCGATAAAAACTATAAAGCATAAAATTCCTAAGGTGTTTGCGGTGATGTGACGTATATGGACGAGTTTATTCAGATCGAACAGTCAAGTTGTACAATTCATCGAAATTCAGCACAAAAAGGATCCATACGTTTCACAAAACTGCTGCTTCCGTGCAACTCGGTGCACGCTTACTCACCAAAACAAAGCCCAATAGTTTTTCTTCAACTGCTATAAAAATTCTCGTGACTTGCATTAAACATGAAAAGTGAAAATTACCCACCTTTTTACTGTTTTTTAGCATGTCTCCCTCTCGCAACCAGCGATCACAACGCCTATCTCGATTAAACGGATCGAGCGACTGTGTTTGTCTGACGGTTCCAGGATGCATTATCCTCAAGACAACACACATCACTAAATATTTCCACCAAAATATTTGTCGATCTCTCAGAGGCCACAAAACCACAAAGTTAACGCTACCGACTGACAAAAAAGCTGCTTTTTCTTTTTTCATCTCGACAACATGTCAAGGGCATTTTGGCTCTAAGCCAATGAATTTGCCGAAAATTGACCGCGTGATATTTCGCCATGTCAGGCATGTGCTTCTCAAAGAGCAGACGGCTATTTGTCGACGAATAAAATACCCAGGCCAGAACTATACCCGTCTCTTCCTGAAAGGAAGGCCGGGTAAAAAGAGTAAATCGATTCGAGTAGCACTATTGTCCTTTTTGAATGGAAAATATGTTTAAGAATATTTAAGGACGATTACAGTAAACGTCCTGTGTGTAGATGTTTTGCGGCTAGAAATTGTATAAACTTAAACGTGGAATTATGACGGCGTATTACTGACATAATTCTGTCCCTGTTAAGATCGTTCAAGGTTTATGATAACTTGCGTAAAGGGTGAGGAATTTACCATTTACTGATGTTTCGTACCATATCGTATGATGTTATAGCATTATATACTCCGTCTTTATTCTTCTATTTATCATGTGTCGTAGTCAATCTTCCAGTTGCCAACCGCATAATAGGCATCAAGAGTTCAGTTGAAAATCGTGGTATTGTTGCCACAAACCTTTGCTTTTTGAGCTTTTCCGACCTCCTAGGAATAATACATCTTGTGGTGATGTTTCGATTTGTTTAACTTTAAGTTGCCATGGAGACTGCATGTATAATTTTTCCAAGAAAAAAGAAATGTCAATGTCAATGTCTTAAACACAGTTCCGAGAAAAACAGACTCAAATTCCTTGAATTTTTCATCTACACTTTTCGATTTAGAGTGTACTTTTTAACGTATAGTACAAGTCAGAAAGAAATGGCGTAAAAGAAATTTAGTCCGTCGATTTTTTTGAGACTAAAAGCTGAAGACCCAATCAGTCTTCTTTTTTCGATGGTAAAAGCAACTTTACGATTTGTACGATGTTACACCTTGGGGATGCTGGCGAGTTGGCTATTTGCATCAACATGCATGGCTGAGTTCCGTATTGGGTATGTTTTTAACACATCCTCCAAGTTACTTTTCTTCAGAACCGAGAAACCTGGACTGAAATAACGAACCCTTATATAACAAAAGTCCTTGGCAGAACGAAGAATTTACCTTGCCCCAGTACTAGAAAAAGTATATGGAAATGAACCTCGATATAACGAAACTTAGGTATGGCAAACATATTTAACCAGCTCCTTAGCCCTTCGTTGTATCGACGTTTCACTGTAGTGGGATTAGTTAGGAAGCTGAAAGAGTTTGTCATTTGAAGCGTGCGTTACTAAATGTATGTCAAGGAAACCATCTGTAGATTTTACTAAGTGGATTGAGAACATGGCTTGCTCGCTGGCCTGCTTGGCAGGCCTTTAAAAGTGAAATAGAGGGGGGTTAAAATTGTGTTTACCTCTTCTCTGCTGATTTGATTTTTTTAACTGATTATACACCCGAATAAGAAATTTGTACCTCTCAGTCAGTTAGGTATTTCCATTTTTTCTTTATGTGTATGTGTTCTTTAAATATCGCATTGTGTCCCGTTAGACACTTTTTATCTTGGTGCTATTTAAGTATCTTGCCTTGTACACTACTTGTACAACTTGTGAGGAATTTGAACTTGTCACGGCAACAGGAATGTCAAGAACATAATTGGTTTAATAAGCAACACAACAAATTTGCATGTTCTTTACACTTTTTGCTGCATAACTATGTTATCACTGCACGACTAGGAAGTGAACGTTTTCTTTATATAATTTTACTTTACAGTATTGAACAACACATAAATTTAAACGTGTACAAAATCTAACAGATATGATCTTTTAGAGACCAAAAACAAGAGAGTAATTAAAATGACTAACACAGTAGGATCAGAGTCCTGGTTTTCCTATGAGAGATAAAAGTGAAAACTAAATCGGCTTGAGCTGTTTATGTTAGCAAGTCACTTCACTTGAATTTTGACAAAATTGTGGCGAGCGAAAAAGGAAAGAAATTGCAATTAAAAAATAGCTAAAAATATCGGGCTGGTATGGCCGCCGAAAACCTGTTCGAAGTCCACTATATATATCGTACACTATCGTGCGTTTGCTTGGCCACCCGAAGTGAGTAAAGACCTTCAGTTTATCATTAATGAAATGTTGTAGTCTTGATAAGAAAGTTAATTGCCTAGCTTTAGTACTCTTACCTCTGGCCCGGTAGGAACCCTTAGACATGCTGTACCGCTAGAAGAAACGTTATTTAAAAGCAGTTAGTATTTAGAAATGACTTTGGTTTAGGAACAAATTTCCTTTGTTTGCATTTCGGACTTTCGTACCAAACAGGGTTATGTCCACCACCTAAGTCCGTGCATTGTCGCACCAAACGTCCTCCCTCACTGTATTGTTCCTAAGGGGAAAAAATCACAATGTTTTGTATCACAGTTTTACTGCTCATGACGGACTCAGAAACATTCAGGATGGGCATGGCTACGTCACATGACTTGGCCTAATATGTGTTTAGTATTTCTATAGCCCGTTAAGCCGTGTTTGGCACTTAAAGGAAGATGTTTTTGACAAAGTTTGACTGAAAATGATCTAAACTGTCGTTAATTTGAGAATTTCAGCCTTGATTGAGCAAATTCTTCTTGGTTCTAAAGTTGCAAAGGATCACCAAACTTGTAATCTTGTTACCTCCTCAGCTGAGTGCTTTGTCGACTTGGTCCTTATTTTTTAATGACCTTAAATGTTTCGAGGAACATGTGATTCTAATGCTCCTTTTACTATGAGAGCAACATTTTAAAATAAAATTCAAGTACCTACGCCTATGCAGACGGGTACATTAGGGATTGGGCGCTACACGTCTATTGAACACAAAATCATCGTTTAGTTTAAGCTCATTTTGCGCCCAAATGTTTTCTTGCAGCTAGGTGTACTGTCTTGATATAAAGTCCATTAACATCATGTTGTTTAATCAATATTGCTTTTCTTTAGATGTCACTGAAGATTTACCAGAATGACATGCAATGTTCAAGGAAGACAATAATAACATTTACCTCGTGATGGTAGCCGGGATCTGGAGCGGCTTGAAGATCTTGAGCAGTTTCAGTGACGTCATCCTCACTAATCAACACCAGGTTATAAAGGCGAAGTAAGCTTTCACCGTTTTGCTATTGTATATCAGATTGATTCCTAGCAGTAAGTCATCTACTGATTTATTTATTCGTTTATTTGTTTCCTTGTCTTTCTTGCTAACTGGCTTACTAAGTTGAGTAAACATCAGTTATATTTGGGAAAGGTTTGAAATATCGGTTTAAGTTTGCAGGGAAATATTTCGAACAGCTCATATAATAAAGATGGCGAGAGAGCCTCCAGAAATCGCCAAGCTTATAAAATGTAAGGAGAATTACTCTCTTACTAAGAGATTTGCAGGACTATTTTCTATCAAAAGTTTTAAGTGGAACATGTCATTTCTAACTTCATAAATTAAAACTGGTAAAATTATGGAAAAGGTTCCTAACGATCTTGTAACACTAAGAGAAGCAGTTCTTTTCAGTTGAGGGCCGAAAGTCATTTGCATTGATACACTACTCGATTTCTCCCCAATGTGTCATCTGCGTACGTGAGTCTCTAGCAGGCTTTGAAAAATATTTTAGCTCTTTTTGGTTTTTAAGAAACCTGATTCTCTCTTCCACATTGATTGATTCCCTCATCTTATATTTGGAGTTAGGTGGCTCGACCCAGTATTTTTGTAGACAGGTAGGCTTGCTTGATTTCGAAAGACTGGAAAGTATCTGGGTAAAACTCAATGCTGAGCTCTTTTTATAACTAGGAGGCTATTCTCACAAAAAACAGCGATAAAATCAAATAGCCTTCATGCAGAAATCCAAATAGTCTTCGTCTAGAAATTCCACGATATCTCGAAATTGCACTTGGACATTTTTGTGAAACTTCGCCAGCAAAGAGCATTTCCAGAGAAAGTGCGAATAAGGGCTGTAATTCGATTAAGAGCGAAAACCATTGTGACGTCATTGTTACGTGGTATTCCGATCGCGAAAAAATTATGTGTAATGTCATAATAAAGTTCAGTCTATATGTGACCATGTGTTATAATGTATTTACAATAAAGACCAAGTTATTTAAGTATAGGAGGTCCAAAGGTGAAAGGTATCAGTCTATACAAATACTGGATCGAGCTACCTTAGAAGAAGCGCTAATAGCAATAATCTCTTTTTAAGTACAGGAATAGAGGATCTATTTATTGAAAAAAGGCAAAGTTCGAGTGATATTTAAGGGCCTTTGTAGGTTTATGAACAAAAGCAACGCACGCCTTACTTGTTGCCGAGCTTAGTAATTACGGTATCTGTTTAATGACTATCAGTGATTTTATACGTTAGATTTTTTTACTTTTTACCTAGCAGCTAGTTCCTCCTTAGCCTTTTCTTCATCATTTTTCTGAAAAATAGCGCAAAACATCGTTTGTTTTTGTCCAAAAGTCAGAAGTGAAGATGCAAATCTCTATGTACCTTGACAGAGTGATCTATCAGTTCACAATCATTTCCACCATGATATCGTTTTAATAAATATTTTTTTTCTATTTCACTAACTTCGTCAATGACACATGTACGTAAAGATAAGTAGATGTTAAAGTATGTTCGTACATCACAACAACCGTAGCCAAATATAGTACATTGAAGGTTGAAAAATGATGTATTAATCGTTTCACGAAGTATAAACCTGAACAGGTTAGACAATACCTTGCAAGAGACCCGGAAAGGAAGCAAACATTGCAAACAGGAATTTAAAATATTGATTTAAAGCCGTGAAATAGTCCGGGTCGAGTGCATCCGTTTAAGCTGTACAAAGGATTTAATAGCATTGTCTAATTCGTCTGCTAAAACGTTCCAGTTGTTGAATATCACAACAAATACCCCTATGTTGAGATAACTGACATGTGTCTGTGTTTTGTAACCCCGCTTACGGAGTTTTTATGTAACGTGAAGCAGTAAAACCTACACTCCACCCTGTGTAATAAAAAAATCCCTGTAAGCTAATTTTTTTTTCTTTTTTATCCGTAAAAAGGTGATGCTACTCAGCTTCCTGTAGTGCATTTAATCTTAGATTATAATCCAGCGCAACGATTTAAAATTTGCTCAATATTTGTTGGGAAATTTGACGTCGTCATAAGGAAAAGCATGATACTATCTTCGATGCTCTTACCTGTTTTTCAGCCATCTTGAGTCTACATTAAAAACAAAGAAATTATTTCAAAAATTGGATTGGGCTTCATTTGTAACCTGTATTTGTGAAAATTGTGTACGTATATTGATAATTATTCATTGAGGTGCTTCAATAGAGTATGATTGATCAGATTGATATACGTATCCCTAACTTAAGCAAAACTGAGTGCGACGAAGGCAACGAAATTCAGAAATCAGCTGAAGAACATGTAGTTCAAAGCGTAGTAAAAAAGAGCAAATTGCAGTCTCCCCAGTTCGCTCACCAGATAAAATCAAGATTTCGGCCGTGAACTCGGTGAGTACTTTTATTTAGTCGTCCTAACCTTTACAAATAGCCAATTTTATCCACGCCAAATTACCATTGGAGTCAAGTAATTGTGTAGATAACCAGATGCAGGGCCAAATTCAGTGACAATATAAATTCTGGTTGTGGGGCAAATGGTGCAAATCGATGTGCAACCAGCGTATCGTTGTGGTTTAATTACGCGGAATACGTCTATTGTCTTTAATAGAAAAACTAGTTTCACCTGCAAGAGTTAATGGCAGTATCATCACAATAGTGTCTAATTAAGAAAACTACACTACGGGCGTTCATTTCAGATAAACTAAAAAGGCATTACACGCCCTGCTGTGATTGTCTTCTTAGTTCGAGAGCTTTAAAAAGCTCTCGAATTGTTCTTCATAGTAATTTTATAACGTCTTGAAAGTATAGAGGCTGGTTGAAAATAAGGGTCCAAGATGATGCTGTGTAGACAGTTTTCTTCTTGTTGACACAGAACTAAAGTTCCCGTGTTTTGTCCATTTTAAGAATATGGCTATGAAATTTAGACCTTTGTATAAGTTCAATGCATACTGTGTGATTGTCTAGTCGTGTGCGAGTGTTCCGGGTTAAAGTGACTGGTGATTAAAAGCTGCTGTTTACACCAACACAGCCGTTCCATAAATTGATGCTAAGAGTCATCTGGCGTTTACACTCGGGTGGTACGTGCATCTTATATGCTTCATTTACTGATCGATACAGTAGTGTTGCAAACTTCACTATTTATGCTATAAATTGAACAGTCATACTTTCTTAAAGAAGAAATTGATTTGTAATGAAACGAAAAAACTTGGTCATTGACATAAGGCAGCTTAAGCGACCACAACGACGACGGTAGCTATAACCATCCCTCAGTAAAAGGATTTTGCGTTCATTCAAACTGTTCTCTTGCTCACGTTCGACCAATGCAAGAGAATTTTCCCGCAGTTGAATTTTAAAGTCAGTTCTGAAACCTTATTCAAGAAGAGAAAGGAAAATTCGTTGACATGTGTCCCCGTCCTCCATGAAGCGTTGCGGTAGGAATTTTTAATAGAGAGTTTTAGATCCGAGTTTACCGCGATCCTCTAACCGCTGAAGGTCACGTGACAAAATGGCGGCCGTAAATTTGCAAGAAGAACTAATGTAAGAATTTACTGCTCTTTGCTGCTAGATAACCCAGTGTTACCGTAAATTTCTTTTATTTTCATTGATTGATATTTTTCCTATTTCTAAATGGAAAAATAAACCAGAATCCACTTCTTTAATCCACCGCCAATCTAAATCGAATTATGTTTGAACGTCAAACCGCAAACGGTTAACCGCAAACCGCGGTTAGAGGTTCGCGGTAAACTCGGATCTAAAAGTCTCTAATGTCGCAGTCGTGCGGTGGACGTCGTAGAAATGTACCATAAGGTAGGGTTCATGTGCAGAACTGTTGTTTTGCTTCAAAATCTAATTGTTTTTTGGCGTTCTTGTTGACGTTTTCTTCATGGTCTCTCCTGTATACTAAGTGTAATTACAGTGGAACTGAGTCGAGTCAATCGTTGTTTTCCTGTCGAAAGGCTAAAAAATTAAAGGTATACGAAGGTGATAAAGGAACCTGAGAAATATTTCATGATTTATCGTGCAGAATCTTCACATACCTCGGCTAAGATCGCTCCTTAATTGGGTTGATGATGTAGTTTTCTGCTGTATGCTGTGCCAACCGTATCTTGCTGTTCGTCGGGCACACATGTGCACTACGAGTATCCTTGTACTTGCGCATGCTTTAAAAATCGAACAGTCTTTAAGGACTGTAGGCTCGCGCATTTTGAAATGTCAGATGTTGTTCCGATTGTAAGGCAAACATCTTCCATTCTTCCAATACCCAGTCGTTATCTAAAATAACAAAAAAGGGTGAATTAGAGACCATGTCAGTATACCTTGCTTAAATGCACGTTGGCCTTTACACTCTCCTCCATCTTCTCGTCTTCGGTGTATGTCAACGGTTTCCAATTGTGTGGCACGTAATCCTGTTCAGAAGGTATTCGTATGCTATGGCTGTCTTTTTCAGTATAATTTAGTACTGATTTGTTTCAGTTCTTCGTATTAGTTCTTCTGTTAAGGAAGACGTCCGTTATGGGTTTCGCTGCACGTCACTTGTTTTTGTGAACAAAACGCAAAACGTCGAGCCTACCCGAATAAAAATACATTTTGCTGAGCCAATTTGTGTGTGCTGTATCTCCACGAATTTGAGCTGGGAGCAGAAAATAGCAAGATAGGAAATGGTTACTCAATAACTGGTAAGGCTGAGTTATTACTTTTGACTTCAACTCCAAATTCATTGTCCTTCACGTAGCAGTAAACTCCCGTCATACTTTGTTCGTTTGTTTGTTTGTTTTTGCCAGCTTAAGGCACCGTGAGCTCTCCCAAAGCAGACCGCTCTCAAGACGAACACTTCAGCCATCAGTGCAAAGCAGATCATGGCTAAATTTCAGTGGTTTGCCCTCAAATAACGCGGACAGCAAGGGATGGCTAGTTCTGGTCAAATTTTAAAACATTTTCCCTGCCAAGTATAACTTAACTTTCGACGACTACCCACTGGTCTGTCTACCCA